ACCATATTCTCCTCGATATGCCACATGCACAAACGATGATCTGTTCCAGTCCAGACAGTAGCTATTGCTTTAGCCATTGAACCGTCCCCATCGGTGATTGCTGAAATGGGTGCCCTCTGGGACATTGCCTCCAAAAATACATGAAGAAGCCACTGGTATGATGCAACTGTCTTGTCTGACACTAGACCGACCCCAAACAAAATTGTGCTGCGGTGATGGTTCAGACCAACAAATGGAACAAACGGAAGCCTATACTTGTTAGACCGGTATGTATTGTCGAACACCACGACACCACCAAAGGCAACATAGTCAATCCGGGATTGTGAATCAGCCCAGAATATGTTCCTCAAATGGCCTTCTTTGTCTTTTGTGTATTTGAAAAAGAATTCCGGGTCTGCTTTTTTCTGTGCAATCATATAGGTAAGCAAATATCTAGTGTCACTGCCTTCTATCTTCCACTTCTTCTGGATTGAAACATGGTTGTATAGGTCTCAATCTATAAATCCAAGCTTGTCGGGACCTCCGGCATTCTTCTCCATTACATTCATAATCTGATGTGTTCGAAGTCCACCAACAGCATACTCAATTACATCGGCCTTTTGTGCGTCAGTCATTCTACGATGAGCCGATAAGTAGGGAGTCAGGTCAGCAGGGACAAACAGATGGTTATGCTTGTCCAAAAAAATCTTGATGAACCAGAGGCCACTACTATCTTGTAGCTCAACCTGAAAAAGAGCGGGACACCCACACCGAGAAAGACCCCTCGGTGTTCTTTTTCTATCAGCTCTATTAAAGTGCTTAAGGGCCCGCCAGCCTTGTTTGCAGCACTTGTATGTCCTTCTGTATGCATTTTGTTTCGGACCCGGACCCCTGTACTTCAGATCATCCTTTCTAACACCAAACCCTTTTTTTCTCGCATAGCCTACGTAGAACATGTAGGCTTCTTCCTCAGTCCTGAAAGTCTTCTTCACAATCTCTATGTATTCCATACACTCATTCAGATCTGAACCAGCCATGCCTTTAATATCAATTCCTTTACCTTGCATGTGTACATCATCCAGGTCTATGCCATCTTTGCCTGCATCGTCATTATCGTTATCATCCGTGTGCATACCATCCATTCCTTTGCCTTCGTTTCGTCTATCACCCATGTCCTTGTCATCCTTGCCTGTATTCCCCAAGTTTTTGCCATCGTTGCCTTTATCATCCATGTCGTTATGCTGCCAACGAAAACAGATAGTCAATGTTACGGATGGATAGCATACATAATAATTATGCAATACTCTGCTTAAATAATCAATTTAATTTTTCATATCGGATTCATGTACCAAACTCAGTCCTTCAAAAGTTGTAAGTAAGTATAAAATATTCCCTGACTAAATCCAGAAATATTTAATTGATTGTACTTGTTGTAACTGATGATCTCCTAACTAAATCCAAAGTGCACGAATCTTTCAAGTCCCAAGATAGATCCACCCTGATAGATCAATTATTTGCAAACTCCATTCAAAATTGTGTCCTAACTGAATCCAAAATTATCACCTAACTAAATCCAAATTATCTCGTCACTAAGTCGAAAATATCTCCAAACTCCATACAAAAATAATTATCTCCTAACTAAATCCAAAATATCTGGAAACTCAATTCAGAAGCATCTCCTAACTAAATCCAAAATAACTCTCTTTGAATCCAAATCTGCTGACAAATTCTCATGGCACACAACCCTAACTAAGTGCTTTAATATGTCCTAGCTAAATCCGACTTACACTTCCTTTGAAAAAAAAATCTTTTCACAACTTTCTGAAACCATAAACCCTAACTAACTACATCAACATGTCCTAGCTAAATCCAACTTACACTCCCTTTCAATAGAAATCTCGTCACAACTTTCTGAAACCATAAACCCTAAACCTCACATGACATATCCTAAACCCTAATCAAATCCGACCACTATTGGTACTATAAGCATAAGGGACCAGCAAAGATTTGAGATGTCTAGGCACTTACAGCAAAGATCCGGCGTGAAAAAGTTGATGCACGTCGATGAGGATGATGTGGCCTCTCGGGTCGGGGAAGGTGGCGTCCGCTCAAGGAAGGAGGGGAGGCTCGTCGGAAGATCTGGCGCCGCGACTCGAGTGGGGTGACTTCCGATGGAGGGGGAAGGGGGGAGTAGGAGCAGGAGGAAGGAGTGGCACGGCGAGTGCGATCGGCGGCGATCGAGGGAGTCGGGGGCGATCGACGGCGATCGAGGGCGCCGAAGGCGATCGGCGGCGATCGAGGGCGCCGAGGTTAGGGCTCGAGAGGAGGAGAGAGGACGAACCGCTCGAACCAAATTTCAAAAGAGTACGCACGATGATTGGACCTTTATAATGAAGTGTTTTATTAATGCAATTAATTTAATCGAAAAATTTCGGACGAGAATACCCCTTGACTTAATTGGGCCGATTAAAGGTATAAAAAAATTTAGGTCGGAAATACCTTTGGGCTTAAAAAAGCCCAGTTATTCTAATCCGTTAGATCGCCCATATAATACACGTGATTTGGTGTATTATGATGCACCGTAAAATCTCCTAACAATTAATAGCGACCAGTAGTAGAGTGGGCGGGAGAGCCACTAGTAAAGTATAGTAAAGTGGGCGGGAATTTTCAAATCATCAATCAAAGGTGCTAATCCGTCAATAGGACCAATGATCCTCTGCAATTACAGCTCAAGCTCGGACATGGGGCTATGGGAGTGCCTAACGACGCGAGCGCCCCGCAGGCAGCCGCGGAAGACAGCAGCGTCGCGGAGGACGGGGCCGGCAGCCGGTAGCAGCGGCGCAGACGGGCCGGCGATAAAGAAAGAATAGACGGGCCAGCCGGAAAAAAAAACACCTAAAGCTCTAATACCATGTTGATAAAGAAAGAATAGGGGTCTATCAAGTGTAGGGATGTAGGATAATGAAAACAATCAAAACCAATACCAAGATGCCCTCCCATCCATCCTTTACAGAAAGCCCCAGCTCTTTTGTTGCTCTGCAATTTGCAGTTCAGACATGGGAACATGAGAACGCGGGAGTACGTTGGTCTTAGACTGAATCGATAACTTTGACCGGACCATTACTGAATTCCTCTGTCAGTTAGTAACATCACGCGTCCATGCCTGTCTCCAGTTCACAAACTCGATCTTACTTGACAAGCCGGCTGTATTTTATAGCATCTACAGCCTAATCCGGCCTTTCAGATATCTGAGGATGCGTCGACACACAGTAACCGGTCATATCTTAAATTTTTCTCTTTCATAATCGGATACTTCAATTATGAATTATATTTTAATTTTTCCCTTCCACAATCGGATACTTCAGTTATAAATCCTCAAATCCATACAATTACATGCAACGTAAAATCTAATTCAAATATTCGCCGGCGCTCGTCCGGCTCCACGGCCATGTCAATGTCCCGCGGCCATCTGAGCTCCTGGAGTGATGTTGCGGTCGCCGACGAGGTGGAGTAGGACATGAGAAACGGAGCGGCTCACAAGGGCCCTACGCTTCCTCGTCGGACATGTGGCATGCATGTCTTCGGCCGATGTGAAATTCTACCCTGAGCAGGAGATCCAATTGAACGAGATTCCGAAGCTATAATTTCGCCTCTCCCATCAATCAATAGATTTAGCTAGAGCATTTATAACAATGCCCAATCGCCCGAACGTATAGATGCGTTTACTACTTTGTTGAAATGGCACCCGTCAGTGCATATAAAACGCAGCGCACTTGTTTTAGATACGACTTTTTAATAAGATGGCCGCATACATTTGTCTGATGCAGAGGTCGGGAGATAACATCCTTTTCGAAAGAAAAAGCTTGTTTAAGACACGTAGAAAGATGAAAGAAAAAACAAAAAGACATGAATCATGGGTCAGGCGTGATTCACGTACAATTGGGTCATGGCTGTTTCATGGACACATGATGGAGCACATGAATCCCTCCATCTCTTCCCGCGCTGGCGCACAGGATTCAGGAGACAGAATTTAAATCCCAAAGAAAAACAGTTCCCGCCAGAGCCAGAAAGAGCTCCACAAGGAATCAGCAGGGCTAATCGGACCCGTCAATACGACCGATGATCCTCTGCCCCTGCAATTGCAGCTCAGACATGGGGCTATGGGAGTGCGTACGTACCTTTTTGTGAAACTGGAACAATAACTTTGACCGGCCCATGACTGATTCTCTTCCTTTCAGTCATTGAGTAACAGCGCCAACTTTGACCGGTCCATGACCGAATTTCTTTGTGAGTCAGTAACAGCGCTCCTGCCTGCCTACTGCCTACTTATTGTCTCGACTTAAGAATGTAAGAAAAGAGAAGGGGGAATGCATGAAAAATACTCCCTCTGTCTCATAATATAGAAACGTTTTTGACATTAGTAGTATCAAAAACACTCCCTCCGTTCCATAATACAAGAACGTTTTTTGACACTAGTAGTATCAAAAAGAGCGCTGCTATACATACGATCAAACTTCATACAATTTTGACTGTTCTGATGTAGTGGGTCCAAACGTTGTGAGTAGAAGTCAAGTAGTAGTGTATGTGGTAGGCTGTGAACAGAAGGAAATTAAAAAGCCGGGAACATTTATACATAGCCTTGCTCAGTCTGATCCGACCGATTAGACGACACATCACGGATGATGCATGCATGATTCACACATACTACATAAATGTGATCATGGATGGATACAGAGCATGCAGTTACATATAGAGGGGGGTTGCATGCATGCGGCGGCAGATGCATCCGCAAAGTCTGAAACAATTAATAGGATGACGACGACTAGTAGGAGTAAAGTGGGCGGGAGAGCCAGCGTGCTTGAACACGCACGCTAGGGTGCCTCCTCTATTTCCCACGATACGTAGTACACAATTCATTCGTTCGTTCATTCATTCAGAAATTAATTGAAAACTCCCGCCAAAACAGCATCAACTCCCGCCAAAACAGAGCTGTGCCGCGACCCGTCGACGGAGGAAGAGGTCTAGCTGTACTGGACGATGGAGCGGTAGAAGGTGTTGGGCCTCCAGTTCTTGGGGATGACGTTGCGGGCGACGAGGGTCTTGCCGGACTCGTTGCGGATGCGGAGGGAGAAGGGCGCCTGGAGGCGGTGGTTGGAGTCGAGGCGCCAGATGGAGCCCCACGACTCGCGCATCCGCGTCCACCGCCCGCCGCGTCCCCGGCGGCCCGACTCCATGAGGTCCACCTGCACCACGTCGCCGTCGCCGTTCTCGTACTCCACCAGGATCGCCATGTACACCGCGTTGGACCCCTCCTCCACGTGGAACCCCACCTTGAGCCCCGGGAACTCGCACGACACCCTGCATGCAGCATTTCAGTTCATCATCCTTGTTGTTAGCATCAAATCATGTGATGGCGATGTGATGGCGATGCTTGGAGGGGAATCTTTATCATGTTAGTGCCATTGCTTGCTGATCAAATTTACTGAGAAAAAGTATTCGATGTGATGGCGATGGATGTCTGGGCTCTTTACAGTGCACGGCGACAAGAGGTGCGCAGCGAGGCATGTGCCGCAGTCAAGAGTGTGTCCACCCCGCTCTGTGTCTGTGTCCGTGCGTGTGCGTGTGTGTGTGTGTGTGTGAACAAGGGAGGATGCCGGTGCAGGGCTAGCAGTTAATGTGGACGGTTGATACTACAGAGAGGTTGCAGTGTCGGTGGCACAGTAGTATTAGAGTGAATTGAAGAAGTGAGGTTAAAAAAAAAAGAAGCAAAGCTACGTGCCTGGTGAACTGGATGTCGATGATGCCGGCGTGGCGGAGCTCGTCGTTGCGGCCGGGCTTGGCGAGCTTGCCGAAGGCGGTGCCGCTGAGGTCGAAGTGGTAGGGCGCCACCGGGTAGTAGTTCATGTCCGTGATCACCACCGTCTCCTGCCGCCCAGAGCACGCCTTGTGCTTCGTGCACTTGATCTGCGTCCGTGTACCCCCAGTAGCAGCACACATCAGAAAAACAACACTACGCAGCAGTACCAGCAGGACGGTAAAAGATCGCTCAGGATTTATAATGAGAAAAAAAATGTTGGACACGGGACACTGGTCCGCTGCATGGGGAGCCGTGCCACGCGAACGTGCCGGCGCAGGCGCAGGCGGGCCTCGATCGAACAAAGTAAAGTGGGGATGGGCGTCCCAGCCGGCCAACCACTCTACTAGTGACTTTGACTGGAGTACGGTCCATGGCGGAGAGCATCCAAGGGAGAGTAAGAAGACGAGCTAGTGACTGACAGCCAGTGGAGAGTGAAGTGGAGTGGAGTGAAGCAAGACGGAGTAGTAGTAGAGTAAGTACCTTGTAGCACGCGCCGCAGCCCTTGCCGTCCTTGAACAGCGGCTGGTTGCCGCAGGAGGTCATGGCCATGAACGGGTACCGGTTCACGTTCTTGAACCCGCAAGCGCCGCCTGCATCGATCCACGTATTTCCGGCCGCCATTGTTGTCAGTGAGCTAGCAGCGGGGCAAAAACTGGAAGAAAGCTTTAGATCTGGAGGGAGGGGAGGAAACGGGGAACACACCGTTGTCGTAGGGGCCGGCGCCGTTGGGGGCGCCGTACCAGGTGGCCCGGGCGACGCCGGACTGCCCGATGGACACGGCGCTGGTGTTGACCATGCCGGGCTCGCCGCCGGCCAGGCCCGTGTCCAGGCCGGCGGACTCCCCCTCCTCCGCCCTCGCGCCGTGGAGGGAGCAGGAGAGCAGCAGCAGCACCGCCAGCACCACCGGCGGCGCCGCCACTCCCCGGAGCGCGAGCTGCGGCTTCCCCATTCTCGCCACTCGCTAGTGACACTGCCGGCTCACGCTCAGCTTGTAGCGTAGCGTGCCGTCAAGTTGGCTGGGCTTGGCTGGGTGTGGGTAGGTGAGGTCTCTCCGTGGTGGGCGCCCCCATTTATAACCGGAGTGCCGGACGGAGGCTCGGCTCGGCTCGGCAGGCAGCGGCGGTACACTTGGAGGAGGACCCCTGGCCACGGCCACCACGTAGAATGTGCATTAAACTAGTCGCCGGGGCGCAGAGGCGAACGTGCCATGTTGCTGCTGGGGTGCACATGGCTTGGCTGCCCTGCCCTAGATGCACGCAGCGCGTCTGCATGGCCTTGACCGGCTACGAGCTAGTAGCTAGCTAGGCGCGCGAATCACAGTCGTCTTCATCATGCCACTCGCAAGCATCCAAAGACTTTTTTCCGTTCCCCAGCACCACAAAGCTCGATCCAAAATGAATACGTTCACATCCATTTTCCTACTCGCTCACTTGCAGCCCAGCAACAATTAACCTAATGAAGCTCCATAGTGACCAGAACTAATCGGGCATTGGTGCTTCATTAGTAGTATAGTATACTGGCAATGGACTGACAGGGCTTCTGCCTGCCAGTGAGACGCACCGGCATCGATGTAACCATCCTTGTCGTCGTACTACGACTTGTACTAATATCTATCTACTCTACTCTACTCAACGACCTGTGTTATCCTAC